ACTCGTCGGAACATTATAATGTTGGAACTGGACACCAGTAGCGGACACATTTACATGAGGCTCTACTTGTGGACATATCTGCGTAATTCGCCGAGTTATTGTTATTATTATTATTATCGTCGTCGTCGTCGTCGTCAAAGTCATCATCATCATCATCATCATCCTTGACAGAACAGTAATCTTCTTCAGAAGATTCTGCCAGATTCGTCTATAGACCGTCCGGTTTCCATTCCTTCGGTTCTAGCAACATAATATTTAGCCTACTACTCCGTGTCTATGAATCCTCTCTGTTAACTCTTGAATGCCTGAACTAATCTTTATGAAAATCTACATGTATGTCATGGCACCTGAGCCAATCTAAATGGTGTACTTTCAAATCCCTCCCACCAATATGAGTATCCCCCTACCATTTCAGGCAAGGGCTCTGTAAAAATGTTACCGCAGCAACAAATACAAAAGAAGAATTTTTGCGCCCATCGCTTTCTATGAAATTTGTGTCGTATCAAGGCAAAGTAGGCGAATTGTTCTTCTCAGAGCAAGATCATCAACCTTGAGTCCAACCCCCAAGTTGGCGGAGCAGGTCTCTGTATTCACGTTCCCCTTTATGTCAGCCTATAAGAACGAAACTATAACAGGCTTCTCTTGTCTGGGATTTACTTACCGGCACTTAATGCAACCACGATGTGCCTTATGTTATAAGAGCTTCTTTATAAATCACAACCAATACAATTGCAGTTATTTTTTGGTTAACATAGAATTTCACGCTTCATTCGTGAGTCGGCGTTTATAAAGGCCTGACTATATGTCCGTCGCTTTTAGAGGATGTTGGCCTCAGAGTTAGAACCTGGAACACTGGATACTTTCAAACATCTTATGCTTAGATATAACGTAATGAATGTCGTACTGCTTGCTGCCTCTTAGCGAAAAATGAAATAGGAAAAAAAAACTTCAATACGTTAACCAACCATTTCTTAACAACAATTTGGTGAATTCCTTAAACAGATACATTATTTTTATATTTTATGTTATTATAAACTTATGGTTGTCCTTCATTGACTGTGCAGCAGGATATCTCACATGCGTATATTTGTCCTACATCACCTGGTTGTTCTTCATTGACTGTGCAGCAGAATATCTCAATGCGTATATTTGTCCTACATCACTTGGTTGTTCTTCATTGAGTGTGCAGCAGGATATCTGAATGCGTATATTTGTCCTACATCACTTGCTTCTCCTTCATTGACTGTGCAACAGGATATCTCAATGCGTATATTTGTCCTACATCACTTGTTCGTCATTCATTGACTGTGCAACAGGATATCTCAATGCGTATATTTGTCCTACATCACTTGCTTGTCCTTCATTGACTGTGCAACAGGATATCTCAATGAGTATATTTGTCCTACAGAACTTGCTTCTCCTTCATTGACTGTGCAACAGGATATCTCAATGAGTATATTTGTCCTACAGCACTTGCTTATCATTCATTGACTGTGCAGCAGGATATCTCAATGCGTATATTTGTCCTACATCACTTGCTTGTCCTTCATTGACTGTGCAACAGGATATCTCAATGCGTATATTTGTCCTACATCACTTGGTTGTCCTTCATTGAATGTGCAGCAGGATATCTCAATGCATATATTTGTTCTACATCACTGTACTGTTCTCTTCACTTTGTATTTGAATGATTGTGCTGACTCTGTACCTGGCTCCTGTAGATGCTGAATTAGGACTTGAAAATAAGGAAATAATTCGAATGAGTTCTTTCTAAAGAACGTATTATTTAAACAAAATAAAATATACTTTACATTTCTGAATATAACCTCAAAGTTTCCCAATGTCCTAACTGTTGTGTTCAAAACAATATTTCTTTCATATATCTAACATTACTGCTTAATCAAATTTCAAATTAAACAGAAAATATTCGTTATTACCGCTGTAAAATCTGTTATATATAATTTTAGGGGTCTAAATTAATTTGAGCATCCACCATATTGTTATTACTAATTATAGAATGTTACAAAATACAACGTTGGGATGGTATCTAACGGCATAAACTTCATACAGAGTATTGTCAAAGCGGTCAGTTGGTTCAGACGTTGAAATCTGAGACAGACAGACAAACCCACAAAGACAAACAACATGTTGATTTCATAAGCCCGTCTATTCCTTAATAAATGAAACTAGCCTAAAATATGACAGTGATAATTGTATTTTTCAGAGAAGAACTCTGTTTACTCTCGTCCTCACAAAGCAGCCAGTGACTGAATTATCACTTGTCCAGAGGGGAAAAAATTAAAGGAAGATTTTGGAGATAATTTCCTTATTCGAAAAATTTATGTATTCTACGAAATTATAATGCTACATCAACTGATGACATATGGAGTTAAACGTAATTTGGAAGAGTTACGAATAAGGAATAGCTAAAGATGATCGGAGAAAACAGTAAACAATATTAAGACAACACGCTGTCATTTGAAAAACGGAATTGAGGTAAAGGACAATTCTCTCTGACATATATGCGAACCTGATACTTCTGAACACGATTTCGAGGATCCATTGCTCTACTGATTGCGGCGAACTGTAACAGGATTTACATATTTTAAACGCAATGGTCAAACAATTTTCCAGAAATTTTCAAATTACTCAGTATCTCTGATGAAGTTTGATTTTATTAGGCGAAAATTTGTTAATATGCATACAATTTTTGTCATATATTTTATGCTCAAAATTCGCAATGATATTGATAACCATAAAAATTTTCGGTTTAAATGTCAAAGGCATTTATTTTTATATTTTCGTAATAAAATTGAACAAAACCGTATGCTGAATGAAATCAAAATTATGACCTTCAATATACTGAACCTTATGTCACCATAATCCGTGGCCTGTAGTCCGCAAACGAACTATACAGACCGAGCGACCGCCACTTGACGGCGAAGTTAGTGCCAACTTTTTGAGGATAGAGGGTGTCGCGTGGTCAGCGCAACGAATCCCCACGGCCGTTAATTTCTGTTTTCTAGACCGGAGCCGCTCTTTCCTTGAAATAGCTCCTCAAGTATCCTCACGAGGCTGAATGAACCCCGTTCTAGACCAACTACTTCTCAGAAAATCTGGTAGCGCCGGGAATAGAACCCGGGATCTCTGGACCTGTAGCCAGGAACTCTGACCACTAGACTACAGAGGCGATTGCCATATTTATAAAGAGCATTTAAATTAAGTAACATATTATAGGAGTGTTACTTTACTAGACGTACAACATTTTGAAGCGATCTGTACCGGGAGGTTTGCATTGCAGCTGTGACGGACCAATCGATCTCCAGGGCGGGGCTGGGTCGGGTCGTGGCACGTGACCCCAAGTGGAGGACGAAGAATATGTGATGATTAAATATAACCTCAAGTTAGTTCCATCTTCACAACCTTTACTCTCTTAAAGCGGACAGGTGCCGTAGCCTTGTTCAAAATGATTACTTTTTCTGTCGTTCATGCTCCTACAAATTCTGCCAGTTTACATGGCATCTATACTTTCAGAAGCTGCCTTTTATTTGCATACAAATGCAACACTCACTATGCTTCTTTCGTTTGTTTTAGAAAGCTAATCCTATAAAAGACAACACAGAAATAATATCCTTATCTAAGCACAAAATACACTCCATGAAGCAGAATTTTCCTTAAAAAGCTTGAAGCTCTCAATTAATCGCTAAGTTCATTATTGAGTTAATAACTGCCCAACATTGAGCCTTAGCTTGAGTCAGATGAATCCAGTACGTAACCTCCTACAACACTTTTGTAACATTCATGTTATAGTCTAATCTGTGACTGCGTGTCCCAAGCGGACAAATTCACTCAGTTTCCAACTAAATTTGTGAATATTGTCACGTGAAAGCGTGACGAAACTAATGGGTTCTAGATCGGATAATTGGTTTCATTAGCACCTCGGTTACAAGTTCTCTTAATTACAATTACGAGTATTACAGCGCTATCGCTGATTTACACAATTTACAGTTCACCGTTACACACGCACTAGGATTCTGAGTTTCCCCTAGTCGTCTCCTACCAACGGTTCTCAACACAGAAACCAGCACTTCAAATCACTATGAAGTCTTCTTGCTGTTTCGTTTTCAATCACTCTGGAACCTCGGAACTCAACTAGAAACTTTCATACTCACTGATCCGCAAACGACCTTTATTATCCCCTATAAACTTTCGACGCCGACCTACTGAAAACACGTCACGTTGTCGCTATTCACTGTTGGGTCACGTAACTGCTACGCGGAAGTGTGAATACCGAGCCTTTACCTAGAAACGGGTTGCATAACCCAGTTGTTCTATTGTTGTGAACGTATATTACTTAGCAATGGCTGTTTCTTTGGCTCAACCGCTTTCGAATGGAAAAAATACGCCACAGTTTATTTCCCATCCCATCCCATCCCATCCCATCCCATCCCATGATACATGCTCTGTTCATCTCACCCTCCTCCATTTCATCATTCTGATAACATTCGGCGAAGAGCAGGGTCTGCAAATTCTCTTCAGTGTCCTGTCTCTCTCCCTCCCTCTGTCCTCTGACATCCTCAAACTGTGCTTTCCCCTCAGAGGGAGAGAGTCACTTTCATTTCATCTAAACAACAAAACAGGAAGAATTATGGTTTATATAATTTAATACGACTGTAGATGAGGCAGAAGAGAAGAAAAAATTGTACGGACTGATCTCCCAAATTTAGTCTGCTCTAAATTTTTTATGAATGTAATCGTAATTTGCTACCGTCTTTACCGAACAAACTTGCTACTTTTACATTATGATTCTGCTCCTAATTTTGGGACGAGACACGAATATAAAAAGATTCCATTTAATTTTCTTCGAGGAATATTATAAAGGAAGAAAATGAATGAAGTCAATAAGAAATTACATTTGTTCAGAGTTTTCGCTTAATTATGGTCGTTTTTATAACTGTAAACAAATAGAGCCATTCTTTTAACACACAGATAAACTACCGCTTCCCTCTGGAAAGAAGGCTCATTCGCCCTGTCTTCCAAGGAAACAAAATTCATAGCTTGGCGTGAAGTACAAGAGCCAGGAGAAATCCGCACGTCCACTCCACATCTGCAGATGCCAATGGTTTACAGGAGCCTCAAATACAGAAAAGGTAAGAGACATTTATTATCTGCGAGTAGCTGTTGTATTTACAGTTAAATATGGCAATAATTTAAGCTCCAGTTTTGTCCTCTCTTCTGTACAAATTTATAGGGAAATGTAGTCACGTGTTTTGGTATAAAGCGAAATGCTAAATATCCGAATGTGATACAAATAATCTGGAGAATGCTATTATACAATATTTTTATGATTTAGTATACATGTTCTCCTTGTTTAGAAGTAACACAGAGTTAATTAAAGGAAGTTAAGGATTGAACATATAACATAGTAATACGAATTGAAGTATATGTAAAATTTGAATAAAATACAGCAGTATATAACAGGCGCCGTCATTTGTCCTCAAAAGCATATCCCTAAGGAAAGCAACTGCAATTCGCCTGGAGTGTCCTTAAACTATACCGAAATTACGACATTTTTATTTAGTACATCACATAGATGTAGCCATATCTCCACTCACGAAACTTTCCTTCCCCAGAAAAATATAGAGAAAAGCGAAAAGGTATGATATCACACATAATTTATACAATTTTATTTAGGACTGTGGAGATGCATAATACTAACTTTCTGCAATATAAAAGGTAAATCTATCCCTGTACCAGGCCGTGATGGCCCATATCGTTGTGAGACGTCGAGACTCCCACATTTTCTCTAGACAGTCGCCTCACAGATTACAGTAAGGTTGTCAGTCTTACGCGCCGGCTGCCCATTACAGCCCACGAAGATTCCTGGTACTCATTTCTGTTAGAAGCTGAGTCGACCCCACAGCCATAGTGCGGCTGGAACGATTAGATCAATTGAAATAAAAAATTCACCTCATCAAGACTCGAACCCGCGACCTTCCGGCTTGTAGCATAGTGCCTCAACCAACTAAGCTATCGTATGCCCCTTTTGTGCAGTAAATGACTGTCATAATACGAAACAGCAGTTAAATAAGATTTAGCATATGGGACCGATTAAGGTTGCCTACCAATGGAAAAAATTTGAAGAAATGTGTTATATGCATATGGGATTCTCACAATAGAGCCTGCGGAGAAGAACTCATGCAACTGTGCTCAAAGTCAGGTTTGAAGCGGATTAATCTCCACGCACGTCTCAAATCTCTGTGCTTAACAGAGTGCGTGACGTAGCAGTACATATCGATTTATGGGAACCTGAGCAAAGTCCACGTTTCAGTTATCTGAAGTACACGGTGATACGCGGTCTTGCAACATCACGATGTTGAAATCACCTTCAAGATCAGGTGGAGTGTGCGCCAGGGAGAGATTGCAGATTCATTAACGACTCGAATTAAATCGATCTTATTCCATATTGTGGGCTCATATGAATGTGGCAATGACTTTTCGGATTCCACAAAAACCGGAGGATTTATTGAGTAAGTGGGTAAGGACTCTCCTCCATGAAGATGGCTACTTTATATGTGTTATTAAGGAAACAATTTATCCTTACCGCAGAAAATTATCTTCTGGGTTCTCTTCTGCACAAATTCACATTACTCTCAATATTATTAGACAATTACGACAGTGATACCAATATCTGAGTATACATAGCGTAACACGGTAAACTGTTTAGCGACTAATTAAGTTAAAAAGATTTAGAAGAAAGCTGTCTTGCGCTAATCTGATGCATTGTCCTGGCATTTGTCTGGAGGGGATGAGGAATAACACGTAAACCTCGATCAGGATAGATGACCTCCGGTAAATGTTCGAATCTGGAACTTTCCTTCATTTGATTATGTTCTCAGTCTCAAGTGGCCTCACTCTGAAAGATTTCCTTTCTAAATCTTGTATTCATTTCCTATGTTCTGTAAAATTGCTTTATTCCCATCCTTTTGTTTTCGTACTAGTAATAACATTAAATTTAAATGCTGAGTATAAACGCGAATTTACATAATTATTACACGTCCAGTCCCTTCGTATCTTTTAAAATCGAGTTCTATTGTAAACAAAATGTATCATTTTTCGCTTAGTGTGGAAGATGGTTTGTATGAAATTCCACAATTCTCGGAATCGCCTTCATTTGGTCTCTGGATGGTGCAATTGCAGATCCCCGAAATTACGGTCAGGTTGCAGTGTGGAAAGTAATTAGCCACACGGTGCCTATGCTTTGTGCTGAACTCGGATTAAATCGCCATGGACATCACAGTCAGCCATACAGCAAAGTTTACCCCTAAGGATACGGCAACTTCTCTGTCGCGATAGCATGGAGTGTAGTTGAAACGCAAGGATGAAGAGAAGTTTCAACGGCAGTATGAGATGTGTACTTAGCGTCTCGCATTGTATGAGACTGCAAAAGCTAATGCTGAAATAAGCCTGCGGCCTGCAGAAAAATTGCATTAATTACTGTTAAGAAGAGTAAACAGTAAATTCAACATTTTGACAGTGAATTCAAAAGTCATAAGTTTATCCCTCTGCTTGATAATATTAATGATTTTGCTTCAGTAATGTAAAACCACAGTCAAAGTATTAAAAAATCGTTGTACAATATTTAGTATAGCTTTCCACTGTCGTGCTTAATTCTATATGAAATCGTGGGGAGAGAACTATCAAAATTCCGGAGGGACATCGTATGCATACAAAATTTCAACAAAAAACCTGAAGGGAGAAGATAACTGGATAGACGAGGCGTAAATATGTTGCTAATATTTCTAGCAGTTCTTAAAACAAACTGCAATAATCTGTCTCATGATAGCATCCATTAGCGATGACTATCTGGTTCTAAAAAAGGCGGGGATTTTTTTTACTAATGAGCAACTGTCAGATTATCAGTAGGAATCTGCTCCATGAGTGACGTTTATTCTCTTGTTTATTCATATTTTTGCTTCTTTTTCATTCATGTTTACTTTTGATTTCTTCATTCCCTATTCTCAAGTCGAGAGAGACGCGTTAATAGTTTTCACTGGCCGAGTAGAGTCTGTAGTCTCCCGTTATCAACGCATTCGCGGGAATCCGACAGAATCATTGGAGCTGCACTCGCTCATACACAGCCCACATCGCTCCTTTTCGCTTCTTCTACGAAAGCAGCCGTTGACTATTTCCGTGCAGAATAATCCATCTCATATTCGTTCAGCGTCTCAAGAAGCTTCCCGGCGTTTCGGAACCTGGAGGTTCATCAACGTGTTCACAATAGGTAGCCGCTTTTCCCTGTCCTGTGCTAGATGAATGCAGTTCACTTCGTCACAACCAACTGCTTTAAGATGCATCCTATGATTCCCCATGTAAGTCTAGGTCTTCAAAATGTCTTTTTCCATTCAGATTTTCCGACCAACACTTCGTATGTGTTTTATTACTCCAATTAGTGCTACATAACCCGTCCGTATCACCATCCTTACTATACATTTTTCTTCAACCTTCTATCAATTCCTATCACTGCGGTTCTCATATCCTCAGCACACTATCAATATAAGTCCATTAATATGAGAGGCAAAGCTTCTCATCCATGCGAAACTGCATGTAAAATTATTGTCCTGTATATAATAAAATTTAAATTTCTCAAAGCAGATGGACAGGTAATATTTTCTGAACTTAACGCCAACAATTATTTTGGAATTTACCGAAAGCAACTCTACGAAGTTTTAACTAGCTGTTCAACTCTCGCTTACTGGAGGACGTAAGAATACCTGCTGTACTGCAAGAGATCTGTAGCTCCTTGAATTTTTTGACGAAGATAGATCAGCACTGAGATTACACAATGTTAAGCAAGACTGGAAAGCGGTCATGGTTGATGAGTACGTAAGGAACCAGAACGGAATACTCGGAGCCTATTTCAGGGCACTATCCAAGCATTCGTGAGGAACGGATAATCGGAACCATGGAAGACCGAAAAGAAGATAGCTGGCAAACTAGAATGTATTCGGACTGTGCACCTCTTGATTACAATTTTGAAGTTATCGACTACAACAAGTTCAATAGGCTTTGTGATAAACAACATAAGTTGCGATATTTTGTGATCACCCATTTCCTTAACACTTATTATAGCGTTGAATTATTATCAGTATTAAAAGTTGATAAATCATCTCTACAGTTGATATATCGTCAATATATAACACAACTGTCTGACGGTCAGCATATAAACCTATCGACATAATTTAATGCGAATGAAATGCATTTACATCGGTCTGAATCTCGAGGAAGGCTACAATGTGCCGTGCCGTGTCGCGTCGTGTCGTGTCATTCCGTATGTGCAAAGTGTTGCTATCCGGCACGCGACCTAGACATAGACAGCGAAACAGCTAAATCCACAATAAAAAATCTTCCTCGAAATTGGGCAAATTACTTAGGGAGTCAAAAATTTTCTCACCATCCGTGGAATTAAAATGTTCATTATCATGTTCACTAGGTTCCATCACTGGTCTGTATCCACGGGTCCCTAGCCAAATCAAGTATGTCCACACTCTTACTTCCAGTTTATTTAAGACCTATAATAATGTATTTTTTCACGTGTGCCTAAGTCTCTCAAATGTTTTCTCCCATTCAACTTTTGAGTAAAAATTAATGTGTCTTCCTGACCTCTCAAATTCATGATACTGTACAGTTGTCCCCGTGCTCTTTCATTTCTTCAGTGGCATTTTCCCGAAAAATTATTTTCATAAAATTAATGAAACATAAACAAATAAGATTATCAGGTCAGGAACTACAAAGTAGGAGATCAGATTTCCTCAGAGTGATGAGTATGCAGACAGTCTGGGTAAAAGAATAACCTGAAGATTTAGGTAGTAGGATAAAGTGAAACGTTGGTACCATGTACCAAATCGTAAGGCGTTGCATCTCAGTCAGATCGTAATCTGAGACCAAAGTTTCATTTTAAACATCACATATTGCCTTTTGTGGTTAAAACTGTAGACTGATGTTTCAGCATGATTTGCAATCGCGACTGGTTTAATTCGAATGAGTCTTAACACCGTCCCACGGTGTATACAATATGCAGAGAGTAGCAAACTGACATACATCTTATTCATACAGTCGATTGTAATACCTGTGATCTATTTCCTGTGCA